CATGGAGAAAAAGAAACCCAGGCATAAAATACCTGCTGGGCCTTCCACATAGTTTTGGTTTTTACAGATACTTGGAGCCCGTGTCCACGAGGTGGGCAAAGAGGCACCACCAAGTGACCAGTCATGGGTTGTGACCTTTGACCCACTGCTCAGTTCATCTCAAGATCTGGTTTATGTTGTCCTCTTGCTCTTCAGGCGTATTGCTGGGCAGCTGGTGCACAGTATCTTCCTTGTATGATAACATGGCCTCTTCATAAAGAACTTGAAAAATCTCACACTCGATACTGTCTCCTAGTTTCTTCTCATTATAAGCCCTTGTTTCAAGTCTTTTGTACAATATACTGTTATCTGTTCTCAACACAAAAACTGCATGAAACCATTGTTCAGGAAAGAAATCACAACCATGGTAGTCAACAATAACTCCACCTTCTGCCATTTGGTTCTCTAACTCATCAACTACTTTTTCTTCATCTAAAATGGGACTCTCATACTCTTCATCGTAGCCATTATATAATGCCCCTTCTCGAGCTACATCACCCACATTAATGTACTTTAGTCCTGATCTGGACGCAAGTTCTTTGCCTAGTGTGGTTTTTCCAACTCCTGGTGTACCGGTGATCAGGATGTTCAGAAGCACCATAGTTCCCGACGCCGCGGCCCGGGTGCATTAGCTCGCTCTCCTAGCACCCTTTTTTCATTTTTTAATGTCAGCTTTATTTATATTATTTATATTCAAAAGCTGATGAACTTTTGACATAAGGTAGTTGTCTCCTTAGTGATAAATCCTCCAAATCTTTATTTGTAAATGTGATTTCAGATATCACTGTAAGCCAAAGACCATGCTGAGCATTTTATTTTGTTTGTTTGTTTGTTTTTTGTACCAGGGATGGAACTCGGGTCCTCAGTAGGTGGCAAAACCACTGAGCTAAGTCCCCGGCCTATGCTGAGCATTTAAAAAAGTTTTGAAGTGATTGTAGAATTACAAGAAGGTTGCAAAGGTAATTCAAAGTTCTCTTATCTCTCATACCTGTCTTCCACTAATGCTGAACAACCATGACACATTTGTTAAAACTCAGAAGTTAACAGGGATACAATACTACTGACTGTGGTCTGTACTTTGTTCAGATTTCACGTTTTCTCACGTAGCCTTTCTGCCGAGGGCCCCAGCCAGGGCACCCAACTTCATCTCTTCACCTCATCTCCTCAACACCTTGGTTGGTAGCAGTCGCACAGCCTTGTTTTCATGACCCTGAAACTTGAGTAGTGCTGGTTGGGTCTCTTGTAGAACTTAATTTGAGTGTCTGATGTTCTCATGAGTAGTCTGTGGTTACATTCACATGAGTGCCAAGCATTTATTTCATTTTACTCATTTTGTTTTTGCAGTGCTGCAGATTGAAACCCAGGGGCTTGTACATGCTAAGCAAGTACTCTGCCATTTAGGCAAGTTCTCCAGCCCAGTCTCTTTATAAGAGCAGCAAGCAAGCATCAGGACAATTTTTGTTTTTTCTTCTAGATGTTTGTTTGCTCTTCGTGGAGGATAAAGTCCCACATTGCATCATAAGTTCAGGGTGGGCTGTATAGAACACTTCTGTAGGAAAAGAAAAATGTGCCAAGCCCTTCCCCACCAATCAGCCTGTTCATTGAGCCCACTTTATCAGCACTGTGGAGTCACTCAAGACTGAGGTTCTTTTTTTTTTTTGGTACCGGGGCTTGAACTTGGGTCCTTGGGCTTGCGAGGCAGGCGGCAGAAGACTGAGGTTCTTATCAGACGTGACCAGTGAACATCATTTTCCCATGCATCTTGACCAGTAGGAGGCATTCATTCCCATTTTATTTTCAGACTGTTTTATGCAATGATGTTTCTCAGATTTCCACAGCCAACTTACATGAATGTTCACCCACTCCTTCAGGTTCAGTTCTTTGAGGTATAGTATTTAGATATACTATACATTCATTTCTTGTTGAATCCACTCCACCAACACCCAGTGGAGATCTTTGGCTTTTGTCCTATGCAGTGTTTTCTTATTTCCATTAAACTTTGTTTATCATCACTGTAAAATTTGATTTTTTTATCATTTGTTTATTTTTTGATACTGGTTGCACTATTTAGTCCAGCCTGGCTTTGCACTTGCTCTGTGGCCCAGGCTGGCCTTGAACTCAAGATCCTCCTGTCAGCCTCCCGGGTTCTGGGATTACAGGCTTACGCCACTATGCCAGGCCCTTGACCTGTGTTTCTTTATGTCATATATGGTACTTGAAAGGCTGACAGACACCCTGAGATGAATGAAGCTTCTGTGATGACATCTCTGCATTGTCAATGAGAGTAGGGGTCTTTCTTCTTTTTATCTTCTCACTATTACCCATAATGGTATCTTTGACTCTATTTGCCATTTTTATGGTTACAAAGGAACAAAAAGAAGCAACAAAATATCAGCACACAGAAGATACTTGGGCGGAATGCTGTAAGACAACTGAGTCTTAGGGCAGTTCACACAGGCTTTGTGGCACAAAAAGTTTTGGTGCCAGACTTGCGGACTATCTCTTCATTTTAAGAGAATTATTCATATTTCAGAATTGCAAATAAGGATTTATGGACTGAAGTTTTTGAAGAAAAAGTTATATATAATGAAAGAAATCTCATTTCCCAGATACATTAACTAAATGTTGCCAAACGCACAGGGTGAGTGGGGCTTGAGTGAGTGAGGTGTCACGTCCCCTGCCCTGGCATCTGCTGTCCCTCCTCAGTGACAGATCCCACAGCAGAGCTGGGTAAAGTCTAGATTTCCCATCCCCCTTGCAGCTAGGCAAGGCCATGGGCTGAGTTTGTTAGTGGAGTGTAAGCAGAAATGATGGTGAGGCATGAAGGTGTGGTGAGTTGGAAGGTTGTTGAGTAGCTGAGGGAAGAGAGGAGAAATACAGAAAGCCTTGTGCACCTTCTGCGTGCCTGATGCAACACTTCTCTGCTGTTTCTCAACAGCACTTCAACCCTGAATCTGAGGTAGTCCTTACGAAACAGCGAGCCACTCCCTTGTTCCGTGGGCTCCGTGCCACCCCACAGCAAAGAAAAAAAAAAGTCCTTTAATAGGGCCATGGTGCGCTGGCCCATCCATGTGAGGGAGGAAAGGGTGTGCCTTGGCTCGAACACCTCATAAGCGACCCAGTCCGCCATCATCCTGTCAGCCACTTAGGTTTATTTAGTATTTACATCTAAAAGAATTACTACAGCATAGGCCAGTGATGGAGAACCTCTTAGAGCTTTCAGCGAAAAGGGCAGGGGCATAAAGATTAAACTCAGAAGAGAAAGTCTCTGAACAGTATATACCAGCTTACACATTTCTATAATAAAAAGCAACCCTACAGTAACCTTGGGATTTTAGTAACAAGTTCGATCCCCGGTACCAAAAAAAAGCATAGTAACAAATTTATTGGTTTATAAAAGGACAGCTGGATCCGAAGTCCTTCAAGTAGGGCCAGGGATGTAGCTCAGCGGCACAGCGCCTGCCTGGCATATGTGAGGTCCCAAGTTCGATTCCCAGTACCAAAAAACAAAAGAAACAAAGCAAAAGCAAAGTAGTTCAAGTGACCTGCTCAGATCCTTAGACCTCTTCTTGCTTCCTACTTGGTTGGCATTTTCTAACATCTTTTTGTTAGCTTTGCATTTTTGAGGTAGTTTAACATCTGCAGTTTACTATCATGCAAGTGTTGCTGTGGAATAAAACCAGAATCATTCTACCTTCTTCTCTTCTCCTCCCCCTCCCCTTCCCTTGCCTCAAACTCAGTGATCCTCCTGCTTCAGCCTCCCAAGTGCTGAGATCACAGTTGTATGCCACCGTGCACAGCACCAAAATCCACATTTCTTACACTAGAATGTTTACCCCTAATATAACAATTGGAAAATAGATATTACAGTAAGTTCTGCCAAAACCGACAGTGAAATATACAAAAGAATTTCTGCAAGCCATAGTGGCTTAAGCCAGGTGTGGTAGTGCAGGCTTGTAATCCTAGCACTCTGGGAGGCCGAGGGCAGGCTGATCACAAGTTCAACCTCAGCTTGGGCAGTTTGGCAAGACTGTCTCAAAAAGGGGCTGGAGGTGAAAGCCTTGGGTTTAGTCCCCAATATCACAAATAAATAAATAATAAAATTACTGCAATGAACTGTTTTTTGGTAGTTGAATCAATGATTTATGTATTGGCAATTATGTTCCCGAAAACTGGTTTCAGAATAAAAATTTAGCCAGTCTTTCAGTCTAAGAAAATTTAGTTTGTTAAAACTCTATAAAGATGGAGATTTTTAGGAAATACACAGATTCTACAAAAAAAATAGGACAAACCTTTCATTTGGAACCTGAAACCCTCTTGGTCTGTCAAGCCCTCCCCCCATACCCTGACCACATAGGTCAATGTTTTACCGTTCCAATTTTATGCCAGGATACACAGTAGGTGATTCCTAAGCGCACTGACTTTGCTTTAAAAATCGAGAATACATTAACCATTTTTTGTCGTGTTTGCTTTTAAAATGGCAAGAACACCAGCAGAATCCTCTCTGTGCTCCTTGCCTCTCCCTCAGATATTTCTCCTCATCTCTGGGGCTACAAATGGATATTCTCCAGCACATGTTGCTAAAATACCAGTTTTGCCAAATGTTTTTAGATCAGCAGAACTTTCTTTTCAAAGTTGTTTCTTAGTCCTAGGACCTTCAAACTTGCTCTGGATAGGTATTTGTAATTTTTTTCCAGAATAAAATAGTGCCTGATTTTTTTTTTTTTTTGGTACCGGGGCTCAAACTTGGGACCTTGTGCTTTCGAGGCAGGCAGTGGAACCACTGAGCTAAATCCCGGGCCCCTAGTGCCTGATTTTTAAAGCTAGGAACTGCTAAGTGCACAACCTGAGCCCTTTCCTGATCAGTGCCACTGACAGTCCAGACCACCGGGGACACTGAGCCAGCTTGAAGGGTGGTGCTAATCTAACCACCCAGGTGCTCTTCGCATCCTTTGGGACCCAGGCTTGGTTTGAAGCAGAGTCCTGGCCTGACACCCCACTCCCTAACTAGGTTTCCAGAGGTGCAGGTGCAGAGCAGGGGGCCCAGGACACCACCGCAGCAGATGTAGTTTCAGAGACTTGCCTGTGCTTAATTACTCCTTTTTCAGCCGTGTAAACACCTCTCAGGCTGTAGTTAAAACGTGAGAGAGCTGCATAAAATACCACTTAACTGATTTCTGTATTGGTAGGACACAATGCTTGAGAAGAGCTGGCAGGTGTTTCTTTGACAGGAATAATTTGATTTCTGTGGTTTGGTGTGAAAGAGCACCTACCTGGAGGAACACAATGCAGGGTGTTTGGTCTGTATTTCAGGTTTACGCACTCGGAGACTCCCCCTTCCTTGTTTCCTTCCGCTCTCTTTCTTCACCTCCACCCCAATCACACACCCCAGTTCTGTGCCCAGGGTGTCTCCAACATCCTTTCTTGGATCTAGTGCCCATGTTTTGCCCTTAGGAGGTGTTCAGTAAATGCTAACTAACCGATAAAATGCATGTCCTTTTTCATTCCATTCCTTTGGCTATGACACTAATTTTAATTTAGTTAAATTACATTTAAAAGTCTTAGGCAAGGGTGTATTAAAGCAGTTTTGTCACGCATTCTCTTTAGTCACATCACTCAGCAGCAAAAGAATTTAATGTAAGCTAGGCATGGTGGTGCACGTCTGTAGTCTCAGCACTCAGAAGGAGGTTGAGGCAGGAGAATTACTTCAAGTTTGAGGTCAGCCTGGGTCAGATAGTTTAAGGCCAGTCTGAACTACAAAGTAAGATCCTGTCTCAGAAAAAAAAACAAAAAAAAAACTTAATGAAAAACTGAAATTTTGGGCTGGGAATTTAGCTCAGTGGTTTCGCTGCCTGCTGCGCAAGCACAAGGACCCGAGTTCGATCCCCGGTACCAAAAAAAAAATAAAAAAATAAAAATAAAGTATCACCCCACTAGATGTACCAGTGTAATTACTTGAATAAAAGCATTTTACAGTGGCTACTGAATGGTCTGCAAATGAAAACTTTAAAAAGGGCTGCTGTGGGTTACACTTTGATATACAGTGATAACACTACATATAGTGACACTGTATATAGTATATATATTTATATATAATGATAACTATAAGAACCATGTGGCTAGAACTCATGATATGATATTAGATCACAGATTATCAAACCCTAGATCACAGATTGTCTTAGTCTGTTCCTACTGCCCTAACACTACATTGGACCGGGTAACATAAATAATAGAAATTTCTCACAGTCCTGGAAACTGGAAAGTTCAAGACCCAGCAATCGCAGGCTGGTATCTGATGAAGTCAGCTCTCTGCTGTCAAGATGGCACCTCATGCTGCATCCTCCCCTGGCACAAGGTAAAGAGGCCGTCCTCTGAAGCCTCCCCTTAATGTTATAATATAGGCATTAATCTCGTTCATGAGAGCAGAGCCCTCATGGCTTGTAGGGCTGGGATTTGCATCCTCCGTGGGTGCCTTTGTTCTTACTGTACTCAGTGCTGCCGCTGAGCATCTGCTCCCAGGCCGGGCACCCTGGGTGCCCACTGTGTGTGGCCCTCTTCCTGCCCTCCATGCTCACTGTCCTCAGGGGGCGCCCTACACTGACCAGCATGGCTCGGTGTCCCACAGCTGCTCTGCACGGGGAGGCCTCTGCTCTCAGCTGCAAAGGCCTCTGCAGAAACAAACACCTTCCATTCCTGCCCCTGCTCAGAGTCTCAGCTGCCCACAGTTCTCATCTCCAGACCTGGGGGCTCACCTCATCCTCTTTGCTCTGAGACCACCCACCTTAATCCTGCACCATGTTAGGGGGAAAAGCTCTTTATCTGCGCTACTGGAAGCCAAGGGGACAAAGCAACAGCCTCGTCACAGGTGACAGAAACTTCAACCCAAACTAGCTTCAGCAAAGAGAAAATTTAGTTCACATGTTAGTCGAGGGTAGACACATTAAATTATGTCACTAGGGCAAGCAAATCTTATCTTTCCCCCCTTCTTGTACATTGGCCCTGTCAACAGTCTGACAGCTTCCTGCTTATGGAGCAAGATAGCTGCTGCAACTCTAGGTTCACGTGCTCCCTACTGTCAAATGGAAATGAGTCTGCCTCTCTCCCTGAAGCCCCAGAAAGTCTCACTTGGTGCCTGTCACTGGCTTTGACTGGGGCACAGCCCTATCCTGAACTAGCCCAGTGGCCAAGGAAGATACATAAATCTGATTGGCCAGGCTTGGATCATATGTTCCAGCAGAGGTGGGGAGTTAGGGAAACTAGTGTGGATCATGGAGCGAGAAATAGATTTCTAAAAGAAAATGGAGATACTGTTATCAGAATTAATGAAATGGTGCAGAATGGTCACAAGAGAATACATCTGCTTCACTGGATGTTTCCTTAATTTAAAAAAAAATTTTTGGTACCTAGGACTGAACTCTGGACCTTGTGCTGGCAAGGCAGGCTTGGTGCCACTGAGCTAAATCCCCAGCCCCCCAAAATGTACTCTTAATGACATCCTTTGGGAACACAGTGACTGCTGCAGTAACGGAAGAGTGGGAGCCAAAGGGGCCCACGTAGTGGTTCTCCCTCTGAGCTGAAGTGAAAAAGAGATGAGGCCAGCATGGGCGCTAGCCTCACAGCATGTTCCCTGAGCTGACAGTGGCAACTTCACCTGGGAACTTGGGAGAAATACACAAGTTCAGGCCTCTTCGCACTTACTGAACCAGAATCTTTGGAGGCAGAACAAGCCTGAGCCACCTTCCCAGCCTGTTTAAGTTTTGAGACAATCTTGCTAAGTCACTAAGTTACCCAGACTGGGCTCAGACTTGGCATCCTTCCGCCTCAGCCTCCCAGAGTACTGGGATTATAGGCATCTACTATGCCAGGCCTGTTTAGGAGCCTTGAAGAGACTAGGGAAGGGGGTTGCAGAGTTGACCCGTGCACATAAGTGCATTTCCAAACAAGGGCACTTGGGCTATGGACCCTCTGTCACATGGCCCTGATCCCTACCAGGGTGTGATCATTCTCCAGCAGCTCTTTGGCAGCTCAAGCATGGAAACAAGTCCTGCTTCAGGTGGATTTGAGGTTGGAGTAAGCAGAGCAGGCAGGTCAGAAAGACTCCAGCTGGGTGTGGTGGCACACACTTATAATCCCAGCTGCTTGGGAGGCTGAGGCAGCAGGATCTCAAATTCAAGGGTGGCCTGCACAATTTAGCAGGACCATCAAAAAAAAGGGCTGGGAGTGGAGCTTAGTGGTACAGCACTTGCTGAATTTTATACTCCCCCCCCCCCCCTGTGTGCATGTGTGTGTGTGATGCTAGGGATTGAACCCAGGACCTCATGGTCCTGCCAAGCACTCTGCATTTTTTTTTTTGAGACAGGGTCTCCCTATGTAGTTAAAGCTGACCTTGAACTCACTATGTACCCCAGAGTGGCCTCAAACTCTTGGCAATCCTCTTACCTTAGCCTCCTGAGTGCTGGGACTACAGGTGTGTGCCACTATGCCCGTGCCTGTTTGTTTGTTTCTTTTAACATCGATTACTTGGAGGGGAAGGTACTGGCTGGGGAATCACCCTTGAAATCTTGTTCACTTAAATGATTACTCACTTTAGATGGAAAAATATCTTAATACACTAATTTTACACAAGCCTTTTTTTTTTTTTTTTTTTTTGGTACCAGGGATTGAACTTGGGTCCTTGAGCTTGCGCAGCAGGAGGCGAAACCACTGAGCTAAATCCCCAGCCCTACACAAGCTTTTAAAAAAGTAAAGTGCGTATTAAATATATCTTTTGCACAGCAAAACTAAACAGCAAGTACTTCCAAGACTACTGACCATAAAAATAAAAGAATCTGACAAAGTGTGACATTAAAAGACATTTTATTTACTGACGAGTAAAAACCATAACTTCAGGCAGTGCAGAATGCACCACTGAATCCAATCACAAAGAACTGGTGTCAATACACAATGTTTAAGCAATGCTACACTTGTTTTTGGCAAAGTGCTGTATTGTTCACTCTATAAAACTGACCATCTATGAACCAATCAGTATAAAAAATTTCTATAAAAACAAAAAAATTTAGACAGTGGCTCAAGAAAACAAGCTGCCATTTATGCATAGATTGATGTACAGTATATAATCTAACCAAATGTCCCTTTTGAGTTTTTCAAGTTGATGTAAAAGTGTGTGTCCAGAAACACATCAAGAAGGCACATAGTACAATCTACAATACTCTTCAGTCTCTGTAACTCATGCCTTGCCCTGGAAAAGCAAATGTGTTCACAATTTTACTTGAGGAAAAACATAAAGCCACTTAAAAAAATAACACAGTAATTAAAGTTCACAACTTCTGGGGGAGAACACAACCCAAAACCAAACAAAATCACTCATACACTCCAAGCCTGAAAACACATACCTCAAACCTCCCCAAGTACTGGTTTGGTTTGTATACAAGTCCATCTAGAGAACAATACTAAATCTTGAGGCAAATGCAGAACAAAACTGGGCACTTAGCAATTATTAAAAAGATTTAAATGTCACAATGAAAACTGACCAAAAAAATATTCACAAAAATAAACAAAACATCTATTTAAGCTGCCTCCTGAACTGTAACTTCTCCTCCCACATAAAGGATACCATTGCAAATGAGAAACGATATCCTTATCTGTTTGCTTTCCAGTACACCTCTTTCTTCATCTAAACCACTTTAATTGGTGTCAAATTTTAAGTGAAATTGGTACATGGCAAGGATGACACCATTGCTATTATGTAGGTTTTCTAAATAAAGCGTTTTATATAAAATTTTAAGCATTAAAATAAGTAGATAAGGATGCCATTTATAATACATCAGCATGGCTGATGGTAGTGAAACCATCCATGATAGGAGCCCAACTCTTTAAAAATTTAACCACTATTTGTGGGCCTCATAAAATAAAAAGATAACTGCAAGGTAACATTACCAACATATACTAGTATCTCCCTGTGCAAGGAGCAGTCTTTTAACTGATTCTAAAACAAAAATACTTGGAAAAATTTCCCACTAACCTATTTAAATGTGAATGTCTATCTTCTAGTTGGAGTCCTTCATATTTTTGTTTCCAACTCAGAAATGAAAGGAAGATACCCTTTTTTATTCTTTTTTTCTTAAGAATATATAAAGACAGTGTATTTCCTTGAGGAGAAATAGCACAGAAATTAGTATTTCAACAAAGACAAAAGATTACCAAACCAGTGTAACATACAGGTTTGAGAAGCAAAGGGCAATAAAAGCAATGCTGAAAAGCCCTCTTGAGTTTTAGGTAAACTATCTTGTTGGTAGAGTCCAAGAACTCATAAGACTGGGAAGGTATGTAAACAGGAACAGTTTACATGGAAATTGGAAAAAATATACAAGAAATTAATGTTAAAGCTTCCTGCAATGGGAAGTAAAAATCCAGTCACTTTGTATCTTTGACAAAAAACTCCCCACCCACCAAACCATATAAACCCACTGCCTCAGAAGATAAATAATGGATGGCGAACTTTCAGCTTACAGGGCAGAGCATAATTAGCTGAGGAAGAAAAAGTAATAAACAGGATATACATTATTTAATGTTTTATCAACAAAAATACAAACTTTGAGGAACATGGTGCTTTCTTTGTAAAAGCTCAAACTCATTCATGAGGCACTGTTTGCGCACACCACGTATTCCAGATGTTGGGAAGTTAACATTCTAGGTTTTCAGGTTAGAAATGGCCAGCACTGCTCAATTCAGAGGGGTCTTATTTCTCACTATGGAGCTTTTAAGTAATATGCACTAAAACACACTGTAAACCACTAATAGTTACAACAGCAAAAATAGTAATCAACTCACAAAATGCATTTTGGCCATGTTTCAAAGAATCCTTAACAGGTCAACATCACCCTGCGTGATTACTGGTCTTGTGTCTTACACACAGTAGATACCTAAACATCTAAAGACCAAGAACTTCAACTGAATTATGTAACCACTTTCTTACATTTGCCAATTTTAAGCCGAGACCTTAGATACGGACACAGAAACCACAGCATGTTATCAAAGGTGGTGTAATCCTAACCTTGAAAAAAATCCTGGTGACTGAAATTTTTGTTTTCCAGGTATAAAGCATAAAAAGTAGGCCCAGAGAAGGCAAACAAAAAGTTAATAACTGAGAGGAATATAAATGTACTTAAGGGATCAAGAAATCGGGGAGTGGGGGAGCAGTTAAAAGACCATTGCAGTTTTATATAAGAATCTCTTCATGTGCCAAACAAATTCCCATGGCTGAACTTCTGTAGCTTGTGAGGTACAAACAACTTGCATGCAATGTAAGACAGAGACACCCCATGTACACAGAGGCTTAGGTTCCGAAGACATTAACCGATCTGTTTCAAGTTACCACCGTGTGGCCCTGAACAGACATGGTGTAAAACATACACACCTTCATGAAAACTCTACCTCATCTCCCAACTCTGGTAAACACAAATAGCAACGAATAACTTCTAACTCAGTTTGACAAAACTTTACAGACTTGGCCCCTAATTAGAAAATAAATAAATAAAAAGGAAGTCGGTACAAAAGGGGATAAGGAAAGAAGGAGGGATCCAGATTTGTAAAGACACAGCCTGGCATGTCATCACAGTCAGCGGAAGAACAACCTAAACCACCATCTAACTATGCCTGACCCCTTCCAACCCTAAATGTCCCAGGCAGAAAAGAGCACAACTCTTCCTGAGTGCCAGGACTCCCTGCATCAAGCTGTTTCAGAGTTACTTAAAAATATAATACTTCACGGCACTAGCGGCTGCTTTTTTCCTTGAAAACACTTCATAGATGTGTGCTCATTTAGGGTTGCAGAGGAGATGGAAAAGTAAGCTGCTGGATTTTTAAAGGCAATGCTACTGTTCCATCACTACAATGTGCTTTGAACTGTAAATGTGTTTAAATAACTCAGAGGAAGCTGGTGAGAGTCTGGATGGCTCAGCAAAACCCATCACAACCGCAGGAAAACCTAGCGACTGGCTAGAGGTAAGGAAATCAATTTTTCTGTCGAGTTAACTGGCCTACGTGTGAGTCAGACCCTGCACCCTGGCCTCATTAGCACCAACACTGTGAAGAACAGTTGTGGCAGAAACACTGCCACGGTTCCCATCTCTAGGTTCAGTAGAAAGGCCCTTGGAAGTTCACACAGGGTTCGGTCTGGACAGTCCACTCCCCATCAGGACACAGTCCCCACAACAACTCTGTGAGGGAGGTAAATGTTAGGACTCCCCTGCTGTGGAGGAAACAGAGGCCCAAGTGGTTAAAGATTGATTCTGCCTGAAGTTAGAACAAAACACGAGGACTCAAGGAAGCCAACCTGTCACTCTTCACTTAGGCGCTATGAAAAGACATCTCGAGAAATCCCCCTTCGCCCTTGCTTTGTAGGACAGGCTTATGTCAGGATTTTTCACTGTCTCTCCTCCTGTGGGCAGATATATATATGCAGCCACGCAAATGCTTGGTCAAGCATTTTTCAATTTATAGCTGATGGTGAGGGAGTGGACAGAGCTGGCAGGAAAGAATAAATACTGGACGAACAGGTCACTTGTAGACATTAATTTTTCCAAATATAATTTCACAGGTCTAATCTCTTCCCTGTGCACATAAGACAAGTGCTTTTGTCTGTGACACCTACAATATTTGTACCACATCACATAGTCACATAGGAATTACTGAGTGCACTGTTCACTAAACCTTAATGTACCTGAATTCCACAATGAACTGAATGACTTATCTGGGAAAAAAAAAATCACACAGAGAAATATATCAAGTTTTCTTTCAGAAGAAACTCCAGCCATAATTCCATTTTACCCATGGCAACTATCACCCGTTAATGCTGTTAGTGTGTAAAAATGTATTCACTATATACAGAAAAGATTATCAAGTACTGGTCAATAAAGTGTATGGATGACCCTGAGAATAAATTTTGCTTACTCAAAAGATCGATTAAGTAATACAAAATGAAATGAAATTGAAAGATGCCTGTTCCCATACTCGGGGGAAGAAATGTCTTTAAAATGCTAACTCATCTATACTTTAATAAAGACATCCCCAAACACCAAACACTGTAACCGTATGATATGTTTCCAAAAATATTCTGAAAAAACTTACAAAAAAGTAAATGTTAGGAGCAAGGCATTAGGTGGTACACAGCATAGAAATCTGGTTTTTAAGATAGTGTCTAAACACACTGATAAACTATATGATTGGTCATCAACTGGCTGTAAAGAGACAGCAATTTCACTGTACACACACACACACATATCCACACACATATGCACAAACCAAGAAAAACCAACCAGCAAAACTTGGAAGTTCTTAGTAATTGTACTGCCGTGGGCAGGGCTGGTGGACCACCCAGCTGTTGTGCTTGACTTGCCGAGAGTGGCAATCCCTGGTAAGATTTTGGCGACGAAGGCTATTTCTGCTCAGAGGCTGTCTTTCACTGTGTTCTTTTATCCACTGGGAAGGACGAAGGTTCTTGGGCTGTTCCAGAAAAGTATGAGCAGCAAGAGCTGCAACATAGCAGTGAATGTGTTGCCCCATTTCACTTGGGGTTTCTATTCTGAAACAGAAAAGAGTGGGAAGTATTAAAGAACACCATATGTTACTAATGAACCTGACAAGTTACTTCACAGTTCTGTTTGCTACACTAACTTGCTTATGGCTGGATGAGAACTTAAGCATCTTATGGCTGACAATTTAAATTTTGTGACCACACTGACAGTGGTGGAAAGTCAACTTTCAGAATCAGGCATAGAGTCCACAGGTGACCAGGTAGACTGTATTCTAAAAATATGCTTATATTGGGCTGGGGATTTAGCTCAGTGGTTTCACCACCTGCCTTGCAAGCGCAAGGTCCTGAGTTTGATCCCCGGTACCAAAAAAACAAACAAACAAAAATATACTTATATTTTGTGTGGATTTAAGTAAGCTTTTCTGTAACAACATTTATCAAATATCTGCAACAACATTTATCAAATATCTGCATTTGCCAGTTCTCTTGCAAATATTATCTATTTTCATTCTCACCATAATTTTAAAAGGAAAATATTTTAATTCCCCAATTTTACTGATCAGAAAGCATTGTACCAACAGCACCTTCAGATGCTCTGTCTACAAGTAAAATGTTCTAGTAAACATGTGTCAAATCTGTTTCATAGACATATACATAAAGAAATTGTGACTTCATACTTTTCTAGAAAAGAAGCCTGTCTTATTGTAGAAGACAACTCCAAGTTTTTATTTATGGCACATTTTGGAATGGCATTTACATGGCAATGTTTAAAGACCCTTGTGGAACACGTAATCTTAAAATATGGCTATAAAGTATATTATTTTATGACTTCTATATTAAGAGCCAATTAAGTAGGACTGATCTACACTGTATTACTACATAACATGAAGAATTTTAAGACTTTTTTTTCCTTCGGTGCTGGGAATTGAAGCCAGGGCCTTGCATATGCTAGACAAGTGCTATCCCACTAAACTACACCCCCAGCCCAACATTAAGATTTTAAAGGGTTATTTTACACAAGAAGGGCAACTGCATATTCTGCCTACAATCGCTTGAGGAAAATAGTTCTTTCATTCTTTTAAGTCGAATTACAACAGAAAACAAGTCTCAGTAAGAAACTAATAGAAGGCTAGGACTCCAGCTCAGTGGCAGAGTGCTTGCCTAGCATGTGTGAGGCCCTGGATTCATCCTCAGCACTGGAAAAAAGACAGCACCCACCCCGCCCCCGGGGGGCCCCCCCTCACAGCGAGGAAGAGAGAGAGAGGAGAAAGAGGAGAGGGGAAAGGGGAGAAGGGAGAGAGGGAGAGAGGGAGAGAGAGGGAGGGAGAGAGAAACTTATATTAACCATGAAGTTAAAGTGTTTTAAGAGTTGGGTATTTGGGTCCCTGGCCTCCCTGTGCAGACTAACACAGATCACACAGTCTCACGGTGAATATACTTACTCTGTGTCCGAGATTCTTATAAGCAGCTTTTCCTGGCCCTACAAATGTTAAATGGTGAACTATTAAATCACTAGTAAGATCTAAAGTGCTATTTTAATTTTACTGATAGGACGTGGTCAACTTTCCTTATTAATACTAATTTACTATGGGTCATTAAAGGAACATATATGAAGAGTATGATAGCTTATAAACCTTCACAAACAGTATTTATAAAGGCTAAAATGCAATAAAACGCAGAGTCCGAAGCCCACTGTAATTAAAAAGCACCTTCCTTTTACATGGTTTATGGTCATATTCCTGAGGACAGACAGGATGAAAGCAATTTAACTTTTAAAAGACATACGGTTTATTGCCCTGCTTAGAAAACATACATTTTGGGGTTGGGGGTGCTGGGGTAAAACCCAGGGCCTTGTTGATGCTAGGCAACCACACTACCATTTAGCTATATCCTCAGGCCCCAGAAAATGTAGGTGTTTATTAAATAGCTAGCTTCCTAATTTTGGTAACACCTGATTCTACCTTGATATAGTAGACCACTCTTTAAAAGAATTTCACTTAAAAAAAAAGGATGTTTAAATATTTTTTTAGTTACTATTATAAAAGTATAAGAATTTACAGGACTTTCCTATGTGCAGAAAGAACTCATAAAAGTTCAGTGTATTCTTTTGATACTTCATTTATGGAAAAATGCCTGTATTGGTTTATCTTCTATGGGTTTATTCTTTTGCAGTACTGGGGATTAAACCCAGGGCTTCACACTGAGTTCCATTTCCAGACCTTTTTAAAGTACTTTTTTGTTGTTGTTTTTGGTACCAGTGATCAAACTCAGGACCTTGCGGTTCTGAGGTAGGCGGCAGAACCACTGAGGTACATCCCTGGCCCCTAAAGTACATTTATTTTGAAATACGGTCTGGCTAAGTCACTAAGTTGCCTGGGCTGAGTTTGAACTTGTGATCCTCCTGCCTCAGGCTCCCAGGGTGGGGGCTAACCAGCATATGCCACCAAGCCTGGTTTATCTATAATATATGATTGCAAACACAAATGGTACAAAAACAGTATCCTCCATGCATTAAAATTGCTAACATATAACAAGTAGATGCAGTGCATGGTCATAGACTGGACATTGGGTTAGATAAACTTGATGAAATATTCTAGACTCTTAGGAAAATCTGAGTGTGATTTGGGTAGTAAAAATTTACTGAAGCAAAATAGTAGAGATCATTGGCTAAACAAGCAGTACTGAATAGTATATAAAGCATGATTCTGTTTGGATTAAAAGTGTGGGTGTGGAGGTATGGGCATGTCCAGAGAAAAACAATCTGGAAGGCTAGACCCTAGGCTGGTAATAGTATTCATCTCTAGGCTCTGAGAATGTCATTTCGCATTTTGTTTTTGTTTTTTTGGTACTGGGGATCAAACTTGGGACCTTGTATTTGTGAGGCAGGCGCCAGAACCACTGAGCTAAATCCCCGGCCCTTGTTTCACATTTTAAAATTTCTGCATATTTGCATTTTCTGCAAGGCACATGTACTGCTTCTGTGTTATTTTACAAAGCTACTGACTACATGAGCACACATATGTACTTTAAACACTGAAAAAAATATAAATGCCAGTAAGCAGAAAGTGAGTATTAATCATGCTAAATTCTTGAGTGTAATTCCTCAGAAGCAAGATGAGATTCTTAGAGGGAAGAATTTTTTTTTTTTGGTACCGGGGATCAAACTCGGGACCTTGTGCTTGCAAGGCAGGCGCCGGAACCACTTAGCTAAATCCCTGGCCCTAGAGCGAAGAATTTTTAAGAACTGAAGAAATTAAAGTTAACTATAAGGCAATTAAATACCACCCCAGAAAGTTGTATTTTAAATTTTTGTTGGGATGCCTGAAAGACTAACCTTTTGGCAAAATTATGGGGCTGAATAGAGTGCTTTATTTACCAAAGATCTTACCCAGTCTGCAGTCTGGCACTGCATAACTATATTAGCGTATTGTTTTTCGTTTTGGTACAAGCAAAATGAAATGCAAAATGTTTGGCCTCATAAAAGACCACTTACAATATTGAGACTTGAGAGTACAACAAACTCTAGTGAGTTAAAGAGCTGCCTGGGCCTTGTTTATATTTGGCAAACAGGAAATAGAAGATATATACAATGATCTATTAGTGGAGTCAGCCTGGATGATCCATAGTGGACCTTTGCCTGACTGCTCATCACAGTTTTCTGAACTGCTGCAAAAGATCCAAATTCACCTGGGCTCTTGCCTTGACCTATGGGAGGGGATTAAGTTGGTACCAGGATCCCTGAAGTGCTCCAACACTAAATAGAACTCTCCACTGAAGAAGAGCATGATGGACTAGCTGGATTTCAAGCTAGTTAACATGGTGATGGGGCTTTATTTTAGCAGGTGGGAGCAATCCTGGATCTATGCTCTCGGTCTGGAAGTTCATTTTGGAACATGCCAATCTTCACTCACTGGCACTCTTCCCTGAACTTCCCAGGCTCCGCCTGCACCAGCTGCCATTCAGACAAATGCTTAAGACCCCTCCATATCAACAAAACATCACACTGCTGTGAAATCTTTCCTCTGGGAGGTAAAAGCTCTTTAAGCAAATGTTTTGGTTTGTAAACTGCCTTTTTTACCTTATGCTAAAAATTTCTAATGCTTTCAAGCTTAAGCAATATTTAATGTGATCACTACGAATATTTGGGAGAGTTTTGAGACATACTATTCTCTCTGAATTTGATACCCTAATATTCCACTCTATAGCATGCCAGAGTTACACGCTAAGATACTTAGCAGAAATGCCAGTCTTATTTCCCTTCAGTAGCAGAAAATGAGATAGCTCTCTAATATATCACTGGGGCCATGCTATAATTAATTTTTTTAAAAATCTAAAAACAAATTTTTATGCTATTGATAACCTGAGTACTATGCACAAGCTTTCATAAATCTCTGTCAAGACTATTGCATCTTCTAAAAACCAAGCTTTGATGTGTGGCAGAAATAAACAAAATGCATGTTCAGCAGACTGCTTGTGGAGAGAGAAAATACTTGTAAAGTACCTGGGACTACTTGGGTTGTGGAATTCATCGGTGCCACAGCTGGCCTCACTGAGGCCAGGGCAGGAGTTGCGCACAGCATAGACAGACATGCTGGGATGTTCAATGAGAAGGTTTTCCATAGGACTCGTTTCCACCTTGATAGTGGTTAATCCACCTGCAGTGAAACATGGGGGAGGAGTGATAAACCAGCTCTCCTCCATTGGACAAGACTCAAACTGGAGGAAGCAGGAATCATTAGTATCAGCCAAGCACTCCAAAGTTGCAGGTAAACAGGAAAAGACTGAAGGATGCTCTGTAGGTGACTCTTGACTGATGTCACTGTCATCTTCTTCTTCTTCCTCTGCTGAGAAACCAGTGCAAGTGTCTAGATGAAGTTCCACATTATAGTTCACATGCGTAGAACACGTTCCACAGAAGGGTGATTATCACATCGAGTGGTCACAATGGAGCCACCCATCAAATTCACAGCATAGAGAAAAGAGAGACAATACTGTTAGCTGATGCTCACATTCTTCCCTTCAGTTCAGAAACAAGACCATTTATATTCACTCATAACCATTATAAAAGTTTCCTAGCACTGCATCTGGTGGTGGGCAGATGACATTGGCTTTGCAGGAATGGCTTTAGGACTGTTTCTATTCTGCTAAATAAACACACAATGAGCCATACGGGTTACTAATTGTCTAATATGAAGGTTGTCCATTAAAGTACCTCTGCCAGGATCAGGCTTGTATGAGTTGCAAAACTGGAAAATCTGACATCAATTTCTCTGATCATCTGGCACAAAATGTTTGGTGGGGTTTTTTGTTTGTTTGTTTTTGGTAGCACTGATGATTGAACCTAGGACCACTGGACTGAGGCCCCTTTTATTTTTTATTTGGAGATAGGGGCTTGCTAAGTTGCTCAGGCTGGGCTTGAATTTGTAATCCTCCTGCCTCAGCCCCGAATTGAATAATTTTTTTGGTACTAGGGATCAAACTCAGGACCTTGTGCTTGCGAGGCAAATGCCAGTACCACAGAGCTAAATCCTTGGCCCTTGAATAATTTTTTAAAAGATAAATTCTTCTTTGTTTACTTTTAAGGTTTAAAAACCTTCAGTTACTGGTTTACTTATGTAAAAAAAAAATTACATGCAAGAGTTTCCATTCATACTGTTAAGATTAACCACTGAGTATATCTTACCTATGAAGTCAACCACAATCCATTCATCATCTTCTTTTTCACTAAATTCTGGTTCTTGGTCAGAAGCAATATTGACTTCACCCACAAACATTTTATTCAGCCTCTGGAACATTGTTAAGGCAAGAATGAGACTTTGGCTGGATGTCCTTGTATCTGAGATTTCAAAGCCCTGCCTTCAGCTGGCCGGATGGCACAGACAGGAAATTAAAGTGCACGGGGTGCTTAATTCAACTTAGGTGAAAAGCAAGAAGAGTCATTAGCCCTAAAATAAAACAGAAAAACAAGGGTATTTCTCATCAGCAAATGTTTATATTTTATAAGTACACACCCACATCCCCTCAGAAGACAGCATATGCCTTACTTAGCCTACATTCTACAACTGCTCCCTTCCTACAGGGATCAAACACTAGACACTCGACAGCTTTTCTAAAACATCAGGAATCAAGTACTCATATGCAACCTGAAAATATCTTGAACTGTGAAATAAAAAGGGCAGAGCTAGATTTGTTCACGTGTTTTTATGAATCTGAATAATTTATTTCAATCTCAGTACCTTTTTTCTGTGGTAGAAGGGTAAAGACTACAGATTAGTGGTCTTGCTATGAGACAGTCAAATGTCCAGAAGTCTTTTCCAAATGAACTGGGTAATAATGCCTGGGGACCATCATTATGCTAGGCCCTCATTCTCCCTGCCTCATTTCCCCCTCTATTCTGTACTTCCTGTATCTGACTTTAAGCATACCTAGATACTGTACACTTAAAATCGGTAAGTACAGCATTCTTTGGCCTTCAAGACAATTTCTACAGCTGGCACGGAGACTGTACACTACAGAAAGCTGAGCCATGCAGTGACTAAAACTGCAGACAGCATTCCTGGTGTGGCTCAGCAGGTGGATGTTGGAGCCGCCAGCACGCCAAGGGTTCAAATCCTGGCTCTGCTGCTTACTGGCTATATGAGTTAGGAAGGTGCATGATTTTAGTTGGTAAAAGCTCCTCCCTCAGGCAGTTCTGGTGAGTTCTAAGTGAGGAACAACCTTGCTCAGTCTTACCAGAGTTCCAGATTTCTATATCCATTTCTACCTGGTTAGCTGATAGCATACCAAAATCAACAAATATTAAAAAGAACTTTTTATGATTCCTCCACAAACTTATTCTTGTGCCCTGCCCTTTGTCCTTTCCTAGTAAACACCAGCAGCCCCCAGTAGTTAGTTATTTGGGAAGGAAACAAAGGAGTTTACCCTTGATTCCTTCTGCTGCTCCCTACCCACCCCTTTGCTCCCACCCAGCCCCTCCTCCAACCTACCAGCAAGTCCTGTGGACTCTGGCGGCACCACTGTCATCCTAGTTTAAGTCAGCCTGCTATCTCTGTAAGACTGTCCCCACCACTTCTAAACTATATTGTATTCAACTGCCCGGATCCTGTCCAAATCCGACTCCCTGATCCCACTCTTGTTAAATGGGACAATGTAGGCAATGACCTAATCAGCACACTTGTTCTCTGCAATTTTCTGCCCAGGTCAACTATTATTCTACAAATATTTACTGAGCACTTTTATGCATCAGGTCTGGAGCTGAGCTTGGGGAGACAGCTGTGAACAAGGCGCTCTCATGGCAGGTGGAGCCACCCAGTGGAATGAATGCTGTGGTCGAACTGGATGGTCCTCAGACTTTGCTGATGCTCCACTGTGGTAAGTGGCTTTAGCCTTGAGTGGCTGAGCAATCAGGAATGGAGGGCAGGCAGAAGGAAAATTACAACTCCTGCAGATAAGAACATGGCACCTTCTGTGTGGCTCCAGAACCAGACAGAGGGTCACAGGAGCAGACTGAGAGCTGAGCAGGAACCAGATCCCGCAGGATCTTGAAGGGCAGAAGTTAAGGGGTGGGAAAAGTCAGGAAGATCAAAGTTTCTGGCTTGGTCACCAAAGGGAGGGTGAGACCATTTAGAGGACTAAGAAAACTGCAGAAAGTATAGGCTGGGCACTGTGAACAAGCTCAATTTGGAGAATCTGATGATAATGCAGGTGGAGATTCTAGTAGGCAGCTGATTTTAGGGCTAGCTGGATGCACAGATTTGGGAGCTGCCAACAAAAAGAGGGTGACAGAAATTATAAGAATGGATGAGATCATCCAGGGGTAATGAAAAGCATCTCACTAATCACTTTCTCCTCTCACTACTGCAGAATTGAACTCAGGGCCTCATGCATGCTAGGCAAGTGCTCTACCACTCAGCTATACCCCTATTCCTTTTTATAATTCTGGACAGGGTCTCGCTAACTTGCCCAGGCTGACAAACTTGTGATCATCCTGGTTTAGCCTCCCAAGCAGCTGGAATCACAGGCAAGTGCCACCCTGCTGGCCCTAATCACTTCTTAACACAAGCATCAGCTTTGAATCCATAACTTCAGGCTCTTTCACTTTCAAAGTAATCATCCTCAGCTATTAAAGTACTTGAGGCATGCAGCTGCTGAGGCTCCTGGTTCATTATTTGTATATAAACTGGACTGCTACAGTTGTTCGGCACACAACCAGGAAACATTTCAAGATAAATGACATTAGGGAGACTTTGTGTCACAAGTCATCTTCAGCCATTAATTATTAAAGGAAGGTAAACAGGAAGTATCGCTTGCATAACCAGTCTTTCTGAAACTCTGCAAAGCAATTCAGCCAAATCATGACAGCTTGAGCTCCAGTATGAAAATTCAAATTCAGCTTTCTGGTCTGTGTAAGAAATTAGGAGAGAAATAGGCTGTGCAGTTGCAGGCCCTATGGTAGGGTGTCAGCTGTCTCCTAGCAGATGAGCCATCTCAAAGTCTGATGTAAATGAAGGGTTTTGAGCATATCAGCTAGGAGGGAAAAAGGTATCTTCAAAACCCTGTCTCATTCTGCATCCACTGAGCAGCTGAGAGAATTATTCCCTTTTCAGAGCACAGGGCTAGACTCTGGCCCTGCACCAGCTGGGCAGGTGGAGCCACTGGGTGGGAAGGTAGCACCCCACAGAGGACCCTTTGTCCTGAATGTGCACCTTGTCTCCTGCCTGTGATGCCACCTGAGGGCAAGGCACTGGGGCTCAGGCCAGATGAATCCCAGGCACAGTGCAGGAAACACTGCTGGGCCACTGTGGCCAGGGCAGCTTCGAGTTTCCAAATGCAACCTGCTCTCTGTGGGGTAGAAGCCAGGTGATGCCAGAAGATCCGGGACTCTGCCACTGGCAAGGCTTCCCCAAGAGCTGTCAGCACAAGTCAGGACTCTTGGTCTCCTGAAGTCAGAGGCAGTCTCCAGCCATTCTGTTTCTCTGCACGGACCCAACCGTGGGTGGGCAGGGTGCAAAAGCCCAGCAGCACTGACATGACAACCTCCCAGGGCTCTGTGGGAGGGACCCAGAATGGAGTCAAGGAGAGGGTGGAGGAGTGCCGGCCTAGGGACCAGCAGAAGCTCTGCTTGTGCTTTCTAAGGCAGGTGGCTTCAACTAAACAATTTAGCACTCCTGAGCCTGTCTCGCTGGCAGAGACATGGGTACACTGTGTAGGATTGCCTCTAGGAGGTCCCCACAAACTTCTAGTGCAATGTGGAAGTGAGGCTGGTCTAACTACACTAAGTTCCTTCAGCCCAGCTTTCTGTAGGTATCATAAGGGACAGGGAGCTGCTGGAGAGACCCCCACACACTAACACGACCCAGTGAAGTGGCCACTAGGCATGGTTGATAAATGAGCACATAGACTGTAACTAGTATGAGCAAGACACCACATTTTCAATTTTAATCCATTAACATTTAAAAGTTGAAGCTGGGCATGGTATTGCATATCTGTAATCCCAGCACTCGGGAAGCCTGGGAAATTTAGCAAGACTCTATCTCAAAATTAGGGGGCCAGGGATTTAGCTCAGTGGTTCTGCCGCCTGCCTCACAAGTGCAAGGTCCCGAGTTCAATCCCTGGCACCTAAATAAAGAAATAAATAAATAAGGACTGGGGAAGTAGCTTGGGGTGAAGGCCCTGGGTTCAATTCCTGGTACTGAAAAAAATTAATAATGGAGTCAAATTTTTTAAAACCACTCAAGTATGTCTGGAACAATTAAAATACATGAATCTAGCTTTTCAAATGTAAACTTCATGACATTTAAATTCAATCAAGTTTTTTTCATGAGAATTTAGCATCTGAATTGACAGGCTGTATGTGTGCACACTGGAAAGTATCTGAAACACTCAGTACCAAAAAAGTGTGTAAAATATCTCATTAATGTTTACCTTGGTTATATGTTAAAATGATTAATTGTGGATATATTAGGTTATATATTTATAAAATTAATACTACCTTTTTTTCCCTTTTTAACATGACTACTAGAATGCACAAGTGGCTCACATTAAATTCTGTTGGACAGTGCTGTTCTAGAAAAATCTTCCTAAAAACTCTCACAGCCTCTTCTCCCACTGATGATGTAAGGGCTGTCTCTGCATAACCACTGCTCCTTGTGAGCCTGGTTCCTACCCAGGGGTGTAGGCTCTCCTTGGGGCTGGTTCTGTGTGGAGCTAAAAGGCAGAGCATGACTTAAGACTTCTGACTTCTCTCTCCCTCACCTGGTCACGGACTACTTGATAATCACAAGTCTAGGGTTTGTGAAAAACAGAGTTCTAGAGACAGCACAAGTCCCAAAAGGACAGACTGACAAATACACCTCTGGGATTTCACAGAGGTAGAGGCAGGGAAGGTGAGGCCACAGGGCTTCTGCTCCCCGAGACCCATGAACTCTGGATGCCTCAACCCAGCAGGCTCTCCAGTGCAGCAAAGAACGTATCTGGGCCCAGGCATTCACAGAAGGCAGATTTTCCCTCTCCTCCTGGGCTTAAAATATATCCATGCCTCCCTTTCAAAAGTAAATTACATCTTTTTCACTATAAAATGAAAATGCCACATTATAGAAAGTCTAAAAATATAAGGAAAAGAATTATCTCATTGTTTTGTTGCAGTCGTTGTTAGTATATTGGTTCATTTTCTTCTAGTTTTTCTGTGTTTCTTTTTAAAGTTGTAGTCTAGTGAAAGCACAATTTTGTATCCTGCTTTGTTACTTAACATTTTGTCATCAGTGTTTTTCATATTATTGCATGAGTAGAAATCCTCATGGGCTGGCTCTGGAGGAAGCCTGCTGGGTCAGTACATCTTGGCTATGCTGCTGCAGACTGTGGAAGGGGTTACTTATGAAGCCTACTTCTTAGTGCCAACGCCAGGATTAAGTGTGTAACACTCAGAACAGTGGCTGGCACATGGGAGGTATTCGGTAAATATTAACTACGAGTTCACTGCAGAACAGCTGTGAGAACATGAGCAAGTCAATCAGTATCTTTGGGACTAAGTTTATCTGTAAAATGTCCCTATGATAACTAGAGCTACCATTGACTATATGTGTCTGGGACTTCGAGTATTTATTTGTCCCATTTTACTGATGAGGAAACTGAGTCTCAGAAGTTAACTTGCTCAGAAGTGAGAGAGCCAGGCATAGGTGGAGCCAGCATTACAGCACAGATCCCTCTGGTTCCAATCCCTTGCTTTTCTCTGCACATAATCTCTCAGGTTCCTTCCAGCCTCAACTCTGCTTCTCCGAGACAGAGAATGGCGCTTTTCAGTTGGTTTTGGCTGCCAGTAGGCGGCTCCAAAAAACAATATTTTTAAATTTAAAAAAAAAGAGAAAGAAAAACAACCACAACTTTGATGATGCAGCTGTGGCTCCTAGACAGTTTCGAAATATCAGGTGGCTAAACGCACCTTTGTTGAAACACAGCCTCAAAATTATCTTTCTCTTTATATCCACCCCCCTTATACTAGTTTAGAAAACTAAAGATGCTGATTCAAATACTTTAAAATCACTTTTGAACATCAGAAAAACAAAGCCAAGAAAGCGTCTTTGCTTGTTCCACCTCTGCTTGGTCTATTCAGTGGTTTACAAGATACTTAATTCCCCCACCAACCCACCAACTGCCTCCTGCCTGTGGACAAAGACATCAGTGAGTGATACCTCATAGCCTGTTAACCTTGGATTTTGAAAGCAAGGACATTCCCAAGAGAAATCAGAGCTCAGAAAAGAACAAAAGATAGAATGAGAAAACAAAAGAGACCTTAGTCACAGAAATTAGTAGGTCCCGGTTCCAGGCAGAGGCCATCGAAAATTATGCTGCCAGTTCAGAATTATATTGGCTGCGATTTAAAATCAAAAGCTTCCTGGTGCTTTTCACACCTGCAAATGAAAAGAGCATTTCAATTACCAAGCAAAAGATTTCAGGATCTTGGGGCTGTCATTATGAGTTCTGTTCAATGACCCAAGGCTCACATCTCACCCACACCCACACCTGCCCCTCTTTTTCTCAAAACTGCTTCCCTTTCTTTCAGCCAAGGATGCCAATTTCTTAGGAGGCACAGAAGGAAGGAAAGGAGCTCCTTAGTCTAAATCGCAATCCACACACTAGGCAAATGCACTCAGAAAACAGTCAAAACAAAGAGTTCCCACGTACAATTCATTTGCAACTCTGAAACAGTAAACATTTCCTTTTAATTGGCCCTGTGGCCTTAAAGTACCTAATCTCCTTGTGCCTCGCTCGAACTTCGTTTCTGTAAAATATAATTAGGCCCGCTCTGCGGGGTGGTGGTGACGACCAACCCAGATAACGGAAAGCCCTCACTGGGCGCGGGACGCGCGGCACATCCTAGGCGCTCCAGGAGCGCCGGGGACCGAGGTGATCGCCACTGAACGCACGACTGGGACGGAAGCGCTCGATCCGCAGGTGCAACCTCGAGCCGTGTTGCGTGAGACCGAGCGGGGACGAGGCTCAGGCCAGCGACAGCGGCGCGGGACCCGGGAGACGGGGCTGCCTGCGCCACGGCGCGTGCCCCCCAGCTCGGGAGACCAGGGAGGCGCGCGGGGGAGTCAGGGAGACCCCGAGTGCGGGTGCGCGGCGGGGGGCGCCCCTCCGAGCTCCGGGAGGAGGCGGGAGGCCCTGTCGCGTCCACGCAAACAGGCCATGCTCGGGGAGGAGGAGCAGGCAGAGCCCGAACCCCAACCGCCGCAGCGCGCCTCGTTCACGCCCCGGGCCGCCGAGGGGTGTCCCGGGGTAGCGCGGCCAGACCGCCGTCTTCGGTTCGGTTCCGTTCGAGCCCGGCACCGGCCCCGCCCGCACTTACGTGGGCCGAGCCGAGGAGGGTGCTGATCGCGGGTCCCGGGACGGCGGCGCGGGGCGGCTCCAGCCTCCGAGCTGCCCCAGGCCGCCGCCGGCGTCCGGGTCCTTTTGTTGCGGCGCTGCTCTCGGAACAGCTGATCGTGCCGCGCCGCCCCCGGCCGCGCCAGCCCGGGCCCCACCAATCAGCGGCGCGGGGGCCGCGGGGCCGCCCTGCGAGAGGTTGTCACCAACGCACGTGACCTGGAGCCGGGGCCCTGCGACGCTCCGGGTCAGAAACAAGCCCGGGCAACAAAGCCGGGAGCCTGGGGAGGCCTGGCGGGGCGGGGCGGGGAGGGGAGGGCGTCGAGGGGGGACCCGGCACTGGGGCGACGGGTGGGAGCGAGGGGCGTGGGATCCACGGAAATGGGGCCGGAGCGAGGCGGGCGGGAGCGGGGGAGCACTACTGCAGTGGCCCCCTTTGACCCAGTGAGGAGCACAGGATTTGGGGCACCAGGAACAACGTTTTTTTCCTTAGAAGAGGACAATTAAGGACACAGTGAGGAGGATATACACTCCGAGAGCCCCCATCCGGCCTGGGTTGGGTAAACCTGTGGACGGGGCGACCAAGGCAGGCGTCTTCTGGGCCCCACATGCAGGGGAGTCCAGCCCACTCTACCCCAGTGAGGCAGGAGCCAGGCCCCACCTGCGTGGTACTCACCCGGAGAGCTGACTGAACTTGTCCCTAGGATCTGCCTAGAGGCCGAAGCCATGAGCCCAGGCCTGAAGGCAGAGAGGTCAGGACTCTCAAAAGACCACTGTGCCAGCAGGAAAGGAGAAACCCGCTGGAAGATAGGAGCGCTGCTTCTCCCCCGCTGTGTATCCGAGTTTGCTTGAGGCAGAGGAAGTTGGGATCTCTATTGTGTTTACCTGGGAACTCTGCACATTCCACACATTCACACGGGGCCTGCTACTCACCTGCCTATTTATAGTCAGAAGGCACTTGACTATGCCTTCCAAACCAAAGCTCTGTACCCACGGAGGTGATCGATTGTGTCTGTTGAGGGCAGGGGAGTCATGTTGAGGTATATCAGTTCCCCCGTGGAACCTGTGTGGACTGAGATGAAATCCTTTGACCAAAGTGAAATGTATAGCAACTCTCCAGATTGCTGTCTATCACACATTACAGTCTCCAAATGACTCCCACTCCCACCCGAGAATGGAATGGTCATCCCATTTCAGGAAACTAACACTCCGAGGAGCAATGATCAAAAAAATGGAGCGGTCATTTGACCTTACAGATTACCAGGCTGTAATTTGTGGACTGTATCATTTCACGGAATTAAACATGATCTGGATTTTAGGTTATGGCAAATCAAGTCCACCCTAATATTTTACCCTCAAATTCACTGCTATGTCAGGAGCCCCCCACAATCTTTTGTTTCTCCTTAGGAATTCATGAAGAGACCATACTTCCATTCAGAACCAAATTATGGAAACAATTATAAAGGTCTTGTTTTTTTAAAAGTTAAAAAAAACCTTACCCTTTTCCAGCTTGATAAAGCTTATTACAGTAAAAGGCCACAACACTTTGTTATGCTACAGAAAACAGTATGAGGTAGATGTCCAAAGGTGGCCACCACAATGTATATCTCCACCATGTAGGGGAATTATTTCCTCCCCTTGAATCTGTGCTGACCTTTTGACTGCTTCGACCGATAGCATGTAGTGAAAATAATGTTCTGTTACTTCTGGACATTAAGAAAACCTGACAGTTTCTACTTTGCATCCTGGCATGGAAGCTCCGGGCTTGGGGAAAGCAGGCCACTACAGAAGGACAGGCAGTCCTGAATGAGGAAGCTCAAGTAGCCACATGGAGAGGCCACATGCAGGAGAGAGATGCGTGGCCAGCTCCTGATGCTTCAGCCACCTCAGCTGCAGTCCTAGACACGAGTTGGAAAAGCTCTCTAGGAGGTTCCAGCCTCAGCAGACACCATGTGAAACAGAGATAAACCATCCTCACTAAGGCCTGCCACAAAGGCAGAGTCCAGAACAAACTTGTTCTGCAGTACTGGACATTAAACCCAGGGCCTCACACATGCTAGGGAGGTGCTCTACCCCGAGCTATCTCCTCAGTCCTTGGCCATTAAGACAGTAACTTGGAGAGGGTTTTGTTTTGTTTTGCAGTGCTTGGCATTGAACCCAGGGCCTCATGCATGCCGGGAAAGAGCTCCACCACTGAGCCACATCACCAGCTCTTTGGGTACTTTTTAAAAAGCAGCAATTGGGCCAGGGATGTAGTTCAGTGGTGCCAAACCTGCCTGGCAAGTGCAAAGTCCTGAGTTCGATCCCCAGAATGAAAATAAATAAATAGCAGCAATAGATAACCAAAACACAAAACTAGAAACCAAAAAGGCCTATTATGGTCTCTAAACTCCACGAAGTAGAGGTTTTTGTTCTTGGTTTTGTTTTGTTTTGTGATACAGGGGCTTGAACCCAGGGCCTTTGCACTAAGGTTCACCCCCAACCTTTTTTTTTTTTAATTTTGAGACAGGGCTTGGATTTGTGATCCTCCTGACTCAGCTTCCCAGAGTGCTGGGAATGCAGGCGTGTGTTACTATGTCCAGTAAGATTTCATGATTACCAAAAAAAAAAAAAAAGAGTGGGCCCAGTGGAAGAGTACTTGTCTGGCATGCTGAAGGTCCTGTGTTCAATCCCCAGCCCCAACACACACACACACACACACACACACACACACACGCACGCACATGCACACAGACACACACGCAAGAGTCATTTTATCTCAGGAGTCATTTGCTTCCTGTTTATTCTCTTGCTGCTTATAATCTTGCCACCTGGTACTTATTTATTCCAGTGATGTATGAAGAGATGGGAGGGGTGGTGTCAAAAGTCTGCCCCTATGAGGGGGAGCATTTTATTACAGAAACTGTTTGGAACTCTTAGGGCACAATAATAATAAAAAGCAAACTGACTTTTATTCAGGTTTGTTGTTTTTAAATTCTGTACAGACAAAGAAACAAAAAGCACAAAGCCCCCACCTGGGGTGGACCCTCAACCCCACTGGCTTCCTCTGCTGCTGTTGACACACACATGCAGTGAGACTCAGGGGTAATGTCATCGCCACGGCAGAGAGCTGTCTGAACACAGCTGGACTGTCAGACCACACAACTGCCAACCAGCCTGTCGTCTGTTGGCTGACAAAGACCCAGCCGGTTCCCTGCCTGGGCAGACCCAGTGAATCCAACCGTCCTTTAATTCATAGGATAATTCTTAGAGTGTTGCTATAGTACCCAGCTCCAGGCTGACCCCCAGCTGTGGGGTGACCCTTTCGCCATCTGTCAGAGCACCCTTGTCTGTTTTCCATGGAGCTCAATACACTCCCTTATCTACCCACACAAAAGGGATTCAACCTCAGGTTTTGTTTGAAGGATCACAGGGCAGGACCATGTCTGTGCCAACATCCAGATACTGTACAATGCAACCTATGCGCCTGCCTCCTGCTCGTGAAAACAGGCTGCAGCCATCACCCTGCCAGTTGCATCAGACTGCTGAAGAATGTTTCCCTCCCAAGCCCCAAAGGAAAACCCCAGAGGCTGTGAAGCATACACAGGTTGCTCAGCCACAAAGCAACAAGTTGTCAGGCTTGCACTGTGGAAAACACCAAGATGAAGTCCACTTAGATAATTCTTAGTCTACCCATCCACAAGTGTGTCTGCTGGGCTTTTAGTATGCTGCCAAGTGTCTGGAAAAGACAGGAACAACATTTAAAACTGCGTTTGAGAAGAACAATCACTTATAATTCTAACGAAACCTGTTGTCCCAAGAGATGGGTGTGGAAAAGAGCCTGTGTGCACCAGAAAGCCTGGAACAGAAGGAAACGAGATTCAGTGAATGCTATTTTCAGAAATAAAAATAAAACGAAAATCTCACAGGGCTGGCAGTTACTGTCTCGGGAAGAAGTCAGCAGTTAGTTGTTTCAGGGCCAGAAGTGTAATTGTTTTTCAAGACCCTGAAACTTTCATGACTTTTGTATATTGGTTTTTCAGTTTTTATTTTGTTCTTTGGTGCTGGGCATTAAACCCATTAGTTTTTTAAAACCCTACTTTCACATGTGATTAGAAAATCTTTTATATAAAAGAGGTCTGTGTGGTGGCAGAAGCACTAGAAAGGAGTGGGGAGGTGGCCCCATCTCATGGAGCAGCTCGTGCTAGAAGGGCCTTCCGGAGCTGTGAGGGCCATACACTGGGGGGCAGCTGGTCAGGGACAGCCCCTCAGGCCTATAGCCTGAGTCTCTGGGTCTATAAAGGCCAAACTTTAAGACCTTTTAGTTCCTGGGTGAATGTATAGATAAGCCAATTATTTCAAATTATGTCAAAACATCCTTACAACAGAGTGGAAAGCAGGGTCATCCCTAGATGGAGTGGTGTGGATATACACTGCAGAGTGTCCACACAAAGCTGCCCAGCTCCCAGCACCCATGGAGCTTGGAGCCCTGCTGTACAGGGCAGACACCCTCAGTCCGGGGTGGTTGTCAGGTTAGCTAAAGCGTGCGAGCAAAGGTCTTTTATTACTCCCACTGCCAAAGCTACCTCTTCACTCTCTGCTTCTTCTGCACCACTGCCCAATAGTCTTTATGGGCAAGGTGCCACCCGAGGTAGGGCTTGTGACCATAAATTGCTCTGTTATGGGGACAGCTTGGGAAGAACGTGCCTTTCTGCCTTCTCCAAACAATGACACAGATAATATGATTGCTACTTACATAAGCTACACACTCCCTCAATAATATGCCTACTTAAGGGACACTGGTTTATAGGATTGTTCTTTTTTGCTTGGATTAACTACCTTAAATATACATGACACTTTGCACGATTAATTTGTGTTCTTAAATACCCAGATTTTTCATGGCTTTGCGATTTCTGGGCCTAAACAGTTTGATCCCAAGACAGGGGGATGAACAGTATAGTCCCATAAAGGTTTCATCCGTGTGTGTGTGTGTGTGTGTGTGTGTGTGTGTGTGTGTGTGTAATGTGTGTGCCTGGGGGTGCTGGGGATTGAATCTGAGGTTTTAAGCATGCTAGGAGCTACACCCCTGACCCAGTCCTATAAATGTTGAACATCATCTGTTCATTAATTCAAGCCATTCATTCAAAGTGCCCATTTTGTTCCCACATTCATTTATTCATTCATTCAACAGTTGGTTAGTACCATTTACTCTGCTAGATACTGGAGATATCGCAGTAACAAACCAGACTAAGTCTCAGCCCTCAATTTCCTTTCACCTAGTAGAAAGGATATGATAAACAAGTAAATATATAAGGTGATGGGCACGGCGAAGAGAAACAAAAGCTGGGTAGAAAGCTGGAGAAGTTGGTGGGGAGAGTGGATGGTCAGGCAGGCCTCTCTGAGGAGCAAAACTGGAAGGGCGTGAGGCTCCAGGCAGCAGGAAGAGCAAATGTAAAGGCCCAAGGCAGAAGCATCCTTGGTGTGCGTGCTTGAGGAAGAGCACCGAGCTCCTGTTAAACAGTGTAACCGAGAATGTGGCAGCATCTGGCATCTGATGGTTATCTGACCATCCATCTGTCTACAAGTTTAAGAGGACTGGCCACAGAACTTAAAATTCTTTTGCAATCTTTTGGGGCTTTGCAACACTTTCCAGAGGCACGCAGATCTCTTTATATTTATTATAACATGGATCTGAATTTCAGAGCCTTAAGAACAGGTCTCACTGGGCCTCAGGTAATCAGTTCTGTTGTACCCTAGGAAGACAAAGTTTTCAGTATCTGGGAAGAAAGGAAGGGAGGGAGAGAGGGAGGAAAGGAGGGAATAATAGAGTCCTTTCTCTGGAATGGGGTAGTTCCTTATCT